CTTACGCTATATGTTGTAGATGACTCCTGTTTTTTCTTCTTGGGCTACTGGGTCTTTTGGTTTGCTTACATACAATCAAGCAGTAAACAATACCCTAATCAAGGAACTACCGGGGGGGGGGCCAAAAAACAAAACAACGCCCCCCCCCCAACACCAGCCGGGGGGGCCACCGGAAATAAACAGAGAGCAAACCCCACTCCCTTCTAGCACTGAAGATGTTACCTAGCCGGGTAACAAAACGTTTGCAAGAAAATAGCCAAGCTCAGAGTACCCCAAGGACTCCACAGTTCAACCCTGAGCTACACATATTTGCTTCTAGAGATAGATAATTTGGAGAGAGAGCAAGAGATAAAATCCTTCTGCTTAACAGTATTTACAAACCTAAGTTTGATCCATCCATCCATCCATCCATCCATCCATCCATCCATCCATCCATCCATCCATCCATCCATCCATCCATCCATCCATCCATCCATCCATCCATCCATCCATCCATCCATCCATCCATCCATCCATCCATCCATCCACTCTAATTTATCAATATAGCATACAACTCTCTAGGCTAGTTTTTTGGACATCTCATGTTGTGTGAATACTGCAACTGGGGTGTATTAATCCATGTTTAGAGTTTACTGTGTTCTTTGGACCCAGACAGTGTTTTTAAAAATAACCCAAGTAAAAAAAGGAAAATGTTGGCATTATTATTCCTTTCTGTAAGAAAGCTTTGCACTTAAAGGCAGTCTACAAAATGTTTTACATAAATTAAATTAAATTAAATTAAATCAAATGTTTTAAAAAACTTAGAATAGAAGGAACTAATTGAATATGCAGCTTTTGAATTCTCTGTTTAGGAAGTACAAATGATATGTTTAGCCAAGTCAATGAAAGGTCAAGCAGCTCCGTTTGTGCAACACACTTATTTTGATTAGTGCTAACCTTGGCTAGCTTTACTGTGGCTTCATGTAGTGTGCAAATCCAGCCCGTTGTTATGTTTAATTGGGCAAACAGTTAAGAAAACAGATTAATCCACTAACCAAGTTAAGTGTTGTATGAAGACAAACTCATTTGTTGATTTATTCACTCTTCGAAAAGCAAGTTTATATTTGTTAAAAATGAAATAGAATAAACTAAAAGCCATTGGAGAGGCTGGCTCCTACTGATCCCCCCTCCCCTATTCTGTTCCACCCCCATACCCTTAAGGGATGAGGGGACTCACTTGGAAGATGGCCAGGCTAGGCTTGACAGGTGGGAGGCGGGGAGTCATCATAAGGCTGTTCTCATTGGATTCGCACTCATGGATGGTGACAATTTTGAGGGCAGCTGAGGGTGGCAGGGGCAGATGGCTGAGGCGGGCATTCTTCAGGTGGTGGAAATCGCCCTCTGTCAGGGTGTACCTGCCAGGAAAAGCAGAAAAAGCCACAATGAAGAAGGGAGCTTTCTAAGGCTCAGGAGCACAAAGTCATCTTAGCACATCCCATCTTTTGCTGGTGGAGGAAGGAAGAGTGTGCAAAACATTACACCCTTCCTCTAGACAATACAGCTGGGAATCTTCTGGGAATGGTCCAGCAATTTTCCAGATGTAAATCTTCCAGAACAGGAAGTAATTTATGGGATTATGGAAGATTTACATCTGGAAAATGGCCAGAATAGCTAAATCAGTGTGATCTAGAGAAAGAACAGGATGTTCTAGAGAACATCAGCAGAACTGCATATCTCTAGAGAAGAGTCAATCAGGTGTAGTGGGGAAGGGGCTGGACCTGGAGCAGGGAGACCCCAGTTCTAATCCCTCCCCAGCCACAGAAGCTCATCGGCTGACTTTGGGCCAGTCCCTCCCTCTCAGCTCAAGAGCCAATCAGGTGCAGTGGGGAAGGTGCTGGACCAGGAGCGGGGAAACCCAGGTTCTAGTCCCCACTCAGCCACTAAAGTGCTTGCTTCCTCCCAGCCCAAACTTACAGGGCAGTTCTTATGAGGATAATATGAAAGGCGGCTAGCTGGAGGTCTTGAAGAAGAACTGGGATATAAACCTACTACTTCTACTACTGCTGTTACCAATACTAGTACTACTTAGTGCTACTACTACTACTACTACTGTTATTTCCCAAAAGTGTCTTGATACTGAAGGGCACTGGAAGGGAGACTTTCTCAGACCCACCCTATTCCCTTGGTGAAAGTCTCCAAAGAGGATTCTTATCTAGAAATGCACAGGTAGTCCTTGAATTACATCCATTCATTCAATGACCATTCAAAGTTATAACGGCACTGAACAAGGGGGGCTTGCAACCAGTCCTCGGAGTTCTGGCTGTTGCAGTGTCCCCACAGTCACATGATCATGATCCAGGTGCTTGGCACCCAGAGCATGATTATGACATCGCAGTGAGCCGCGGTCATGTGATTGTGATTTCTGACATTTCCAGCCGGCTTCCCACAAGCAAAGTCAGTGAGGAAGCTGGCAGGAAGTTGAAAGTCGTGGTCACAGGAGGTCCTTGTTTAATGACCTGTGCGGTCCTCGCTTAACAATGGCAATTGGATCTGCCAGAACTGCTGTTGCTAAGCAACGCCGCCATGTGATGTCATGCTTTATGACCGCATCATTTAGCGATGGAAATTCCAGTCCCAATTGCCATCGTAAGCTGAGGGCTACCTCTAATTTCCTCCCCAGAAATATCCCACATGTGCTTTGTCACTGCAGAAATTCTTAAATAGCCCCTTCAGAGGTATCCTTTGAGCTATGAGGCCTACAATCTTGTGCCTGTTAAAAAAAAGGGCAAGCAAGCATCTCTAGGGTGGTAGAGGCCTCGAGGTGCTGCTGAACATTCCCCACAATCCCAACCAGCATAGCCAGGGAGGCTGTAGGGAAGTTGGGAATTGTAGTTCAACATCATCAGAAACCCAGTGCTGGATCTACTAAAGGATTTGTCTTCTCTCCCTGCAGCACCCAGCGGATGGCTCTGGGATGCCCACAAGCAAGAAATTGACAAAATGACATGGTTCTCCTCCCTTATCCCAGCGTTTCTCAACCTCAGCAACTTCAAAATCTGTGGACTTCAACTCCCAGAATTCTCCAGCACTCCAGACCCCTGCTTCCCCACCCCCCCTCCAGATGTCCATCCTTCAGTTTCCAGCCCAGCCTCCTGGTTCCTGATCAAAGCCAAGACTCACCTCCTCCCCTTCTCCTGCGTCTTCTTGCTCTGCTCAAAGAGGGCGGCTTCATTAAATGAGACCCGCCGCCCCGTGGCGCTGCCGGAAGACAGAAATCGCTCGCTCTCTGCATCTCGATAGCTGGAGCTGGATGCGCATTCAGGATCATCCACTTTGATGGTGATGTCTAGGAGGTAAGCAAAGAGGGAGGGTGCGTGAATTCGCAGCACCAGCCTGCTTCTGTTCCAAAGCAGCAACCCTAAACTTTGCTGTTCTAGGGGATTAGAGATCCCTGGAAAAAGACACCGAGGATTCAGTTTTAGTTCCCAGTTTTTAAAATTTGTTCATTTGTTTAATTTGTATGCTGCCCATCTCCCACGGAGGGTGACTTTTATCAATTTAAAAATGAGAATTGGGTAGCATCTGATATAATCTGAGTTGATGTTCAGGTTCACTGTCTTTCTACAGGACGCCGAGAGAACGTTAGACTAAAACTTCCTAACTCCCCTTTGTTGGATGTGTTGAAATGAAAGCTGGACAGCTTCTACCAAGGGTGATTTAATTCAGATTCCTGCACTGAGCAGGGAGGGTTGGTTTTAATGGCCTCAAGAACACCTTCCAACTCCCCAAAATATTAGAAGATTGGCCCACCAATTTTCAGAAATCAAATCGTTGTGATTCAGTGGTGGAACCCCCAAATTAAAAAGTTCACAGGCCAATCAGATGCAGCAGCTCAAATAGCTCCTTCCAACTTGCAAATTCTATGATTCCTAAATCTAGGATCCACTGTGAACATCATCTTTTCAATTTTCTAAAATAAAACAAACTTGGACAATTGTGTCTTCAACTTCCCTTGTGGTCCTAACAGATATCTCTGGAAAGCCCCAAGTATTGTCTGCTGCCAACTGATTTCCTCCCTTTCTTCCCACCCCCATAGCCAACTGCTATTCCAAGGTAGACTGCCTTGGGCATGCAGGTTCAACAGAGACCGGAGAACAGCCATTCAATGGCCCAATCCCCCTGAAAAGCTATTTCCCCCTGCCTTTTCTTCCGCTCCTCTTTCTGCTTCACCTTTTTCTTACTTTTAAATGTAAAAACAAAAACTCAGAGAGGCAAAACGACCCCTAAAACTTTTGTAGGTATATATAAGACAGGAATTGCTCAAAACCAGTCACTGAACAGTGGTGGACGCCTTTATAAGCGGCTCGCTGTATTGATATACAGATATAGGAGTTGGGTGACCTTATGCATCTTTAAATAAAATAAATATTCAATTCCACCAGAGAAAATAATTGCAGGGAGACTTTTGAAAGCTTAGCTCCAAAATTCCAGCCGGTTCAGACAACAATCTAGAAGAGGCTAAAAGTGGAATGGAGTGGTAAAGCAGTTTGTAATAAAGAATTTTGAGGGAAGCCAATCAGTGACTTTTCTGGCTGTGTGACCGGCTTATCCAACAGCTGATGTGTTTGGGCACTGCCCTTCCTGTGAAAATAAGCAGTGATGCTTGATGAGTCCAAATTTAGGGTTTAGTGTGTTGTGCGAACTTAGCTCTTACGCCAGGCTCTTTGGCAGCTGCCTAAAACTAAAAGCAATTCAGACCAAGCCCGATTCTTACAGAGTTGTCTTTAGCAAGATTTATTGAGATGAAAGGGAGGAGGTTAGAGTCAGCCTGGGAACCCCTTCTTCCATATTAAGAATGTGCTCATGTTTGAACTTGACAATTGAACAACGTAAATGGATTCTCCGTGCCCTTACTAGGGCCAAAAGACTGATATTGCAGCATTGGAAAGATAAATGTATGGCCCCATTTATTCAATGGATTATTCGAAGACCTGATTGGACTTGCTACTTATGAGCGGATTGCCTATAGATGTAGACTTTGTATGGACAAGTATAATGAAATA